GAGGGTGTGAAGGGAGGGCTAGGAATGGGTAAAAAATAAGAACCAAGATGCATTATGTAAAGGTACAATTCCCAGTGAGAAATGTAATTGTGTTGTATACCTACAATGTACCAATAAAATAATTTAATACAAAAAACAAACCAACCAAAAAATCAAGGGTTCCATGTTCTGTTTGAAGATGTTGCCAAGGAAGTGAGCTCATGACTTGGAGTTCCATAACCTGAGTTTCCATGTAATAGAAAAGCCTATAGCCCTGTAGGGATAGAGACCCCTAGGCAGGGAGAGACAAGTCCCCCCCCAAAGGACTTCAGATAGCTGACAGAACAGGCTTAACCACCCATAAAAAGCTGACAGTCTGCTGAGGCTGCACCTCCTCTTCATGCTGTACACTGCAAAGCTTGGTTTGCTAAGATCAAAAGGAAAAAGAACCTTGGCCCTAATATGTAAATGGCCCCTGAAAAGATCCTTCCCTGTTGTCCCTAGTAATCAGCTAAGTTAATCATTAACCAATCAAGTGGCGGTGCCCTCAGCCCAGAGGCAGGATAGGCCCCCAACTACTATAAAACCAGCATCTTGAGCCCCCCTTCAATGGTGCCTCCGTTTTGGTCACCCCAGCCTGGCTCTCTGCGAGAAGGCAGCTGTACTCTTGCATGCTTGCTGAATAAAAGTACAACTTTGCTTCTACACTTTCGGTCTCTATCTGATTCTTCCACAACCTTCTGCGTCATCGGGAGAGTCAGGCCCGGGACTCTGGGGACTTGGGAGAACTAAATCTTAAATTTGTATACCACATTTCTGTGTTTATAAACAAAGTTTTGAATCTATCTATCTATCTATCTATCTATCTATCTATCTATCTATCCATCCATCCACCCATCTCAGCACATCTTGCAATTTAAAGATTTCCCGGTGAAAAGGAAGTGTATGGAATACAATCACTGCAGTGTAATAGGACTGATCAAGGATCACTAACAGCCATAGTCCTTGTTGTAATTTGAAAACAGTAGCAGTGTTGACTTTTCTGCTTTTTCACTTGGGTGACTAACTCATTAACAGAAAAATCTCAAACAAGAAAGAATGAAAACCAGTTTGAGAAAAGGGAAACATTATTTCCTACAATGTCAACTTTGGAAGTTGTTTTCTTCCATGCAGGTAAAAATGACGCACAATTCTCAGTTTTGTCTTTGTGTTTAACCCAGCACCATTTCTCAGTCAGCAGGTATCCTGTGTGGCTCTGGGCTGTGCTCTGTTACCAAGTGGGGTCTTGGCCTAATAGTGACAACTACACTGTATGTGTAGCTGGGGCCCCTCCACACACTCCAATCATTTGCACACTGCTGTATACTGATCTTCTCCCTTCCATCTAATTTTTTATTTGGACACACTGTCCTGAACCAATGAAACACACACACATGCATCCACATACACACCCATCCACATTCAAATTTACACAAAAAAATAAACATCAGTTCTTACTTTTGGTGGCTCCTTCTTTTATTTTTTGTCTAAAGCTTCAATGGCAGCGTTTTGTTGTCTTGGAGGCATTTCAACAGAAAATCCATTCAGAGTGAGATGGGAGGCACGTTTCTGAGTACAGATTTTCAGTAAGTGTATACCTACATCAGAGAAAAGTAGAAGGTCCTGGATGATGAGTTATTTTGAAGCAAAAGGAAATAAACATTTTATTTACCTCCATCTACAACCTGTGCTAGGCCTGTGCCATGTACTCTCATTTAATGAGATTTGAGAAATCCATGACTTATCCCTATGGCAACCTGCTTCTGAGTTCTAGTTTCTCTGACCTGAAAGGCCACACTCTTCCACAGCTATGTTTTGACTCTTTATACATTATTCACTTCTTAAATTTGTTTTTGTGTTTTCTTACCATGGCTTAGGGATTGGCTGTGTCAGGTGCCCCTCCTAAGCGCACAACAGTCCCAGGAGGTGGACTGCACAGGTGTGCTGGTGGTGCTGGTTGGGCCCATTTAACAGCTGAAAGGGTAAAGATCTTGAGAGCTTGTGGCTGGAAAGTGGGGAATCTCATCCTGTGTCCATTACTTCTCATTTTCGATGCAGGATTCCTTCAGTGACACATTGCTAAATTGGTGGCCTAGACTTTTCCTAATTTTATTTCCTTTGCTTTTAGTATCCATGTGGCAGCTCCATTCTTTAACATTATAGCAGGGCACAGTAAAAGTACCATTTGTATTCACATGAATTCTTCTTAATTCTGGGTATCTTAAAATAAGAGATGAGATTATCTGAGGATTTCTTTTCAGAGAAAGACCTGGTGAATAATTGTCCATGACGTTTAGGTAGAGCTATAAATGGTTTTCTTTTATTTCACAGTATTGCTTTAGATTAACATTATCTTTTTACTTACTTTGAACAAAACTAATTCAATGAAATCTAAGATATTTCCTCCTAATATTTTTGACCAAGCCTTCATATATATTCAAGATTCATCAAAGAAAACAGGACAGAAGATAAAAGAGGAACACAAAATTCTGTATAAATGCACCTAAATGTGAGACTTAATATCAATCTCAATTTTATGATTGTTAATTCCCAGATAGGTTTTTACTCTTCTTTGAACTTGGGTAGAGCCTGAGGAGTAGCATCTCCTGAGCCCAGGTGAGTGTGAACAAGTGCGAGGCCTGGAAGACACAGAAGGATCAGTGTATTCCAGACAACCTGAGGAGTTCTGGTTGGCCAGGACAGGGACCGCTCAGAAACATGCTTTGCTCACAGCTTCAGGGACCCTGAGGATCTTTCTTCAGGCACAGTCTTTATGATACACACCTGTGGGTAGATGTGATACTGGACATCAGGATCTTTTGGCATAGGAACAATAGAAATGAGATTGCACCAAACAGGACAAGCACACAGACTGTTAACAGGTGAACCTTGATGGGGATTGGGGCACTCCTCCTTAAGTGAGACTTCAGCTGAAAGGAGTCAGCAAAGATCAAGAGAGAGAACAAGCTGCTTGCAGAAAAAAGACAAGAGCAAGTTTGTATTGACTGACAGTTGTGTTAGTCAGCTTTCCACTCCTGTGACAAAATACCTGACATAAACAATTTAAAGGACAAAAAATTTATTTTGGCTCATGACTAGAAGTTTCAGTCCGTGGTCAACTGGATCCATTGCTGTGGGCATAAGGCAAGGCAGAATGTTATGGTGGAAGGGCCTTGCAGAGAAAAGCTGCTCACTTCATGGCAGTCAGAAAGCAGAGAGAAAAAGACTCAAGATGGGAAAGGGCTGGGGACCGGGTATGGTCCCCAAAGTCATCTCACATCTCCATGATTCACTCCCTTCAACTACTTGGCACCTCCTGTTTCAATTACTTCCCAATAATGCCATCAAATTATGATCTCATTAGCATATCTATTCATTGGTGTATGATGAAATTAGAAACCATATGATCCAATCACCTTCCAAAAACCCACAGTTTGAACACAAAAGCTTTGGGGGGACATTTTAGATCTAAACCATAACACCAGGCATGGGTCATATTCTGATAAATTTCATTGGCCAAGGGTACGATTCCAAAGGATGTGTCTTGTGATAGACTTAGACCATCAGGTGTTCAAGATCAATTTGTCCTAGAGGAATTCTGAATTTTCATGTAGCTGGCACCATTATCCTGTGTAAAACATCCCCACCTTGGGTCTAGGCAACTGTTACCTGATTCCATATGTCAAAAATGTTATCTGCAAGAGATATGTGACCTCAAAAATCAATGAGTTTTAAATCTACTAAGATCAAGTAAGGTAAAGGGGATATTGAAGTTCTTTTCCTTGATAACAATTTTATTTTGTGTAAGCACTCTGCTTCTCTCATTTTATCTGTTTCATGATGGATCTGTTGAAAAGAGCACAAAAGTAGAGAAGCAAAATGTCATGCTACAAAGGAGTAATCATTTACTGTACCCTGGGGCTAATTTTGCTGTCCCAAATTTCTATTCCACCATGATGGTCCCTGACCTATGATCAAACTTCCTCTGCTCTGAATTAATGATCCCTTCTGAACTCTAGAAATGGTCCTTTTTGGTGAGGATGCACATCACGATCTTCCTTCCTCACTACTGCATCAAGGCACAGAAATAAGTACAATGCTATCCTATGTGTCCCGGGCAGTCATTGCTAACAGTTTGAAGGTGGCCTGCTTTACACTTGCAAGTCTTTCTTCTGAATCTTCTATGAGAAAGGCCCTTGCTTCATGATATTCCTTGCTAACTACTACAGGTGCTCTAAATTAGCTGAGATGTTTTCTTTTCAGAGTATCATATGTGCTCCAAGCAACTTCTGCAGACCTCCTCGTATTAGTCAGCTTTTCATTACTGTGACAAAATACGTAAGAAAAACAATTTAAAAGAGGAATGGTTTATTTTGTCTCATGGTTTCAGAATCAAAAGTTTTAGTCCATATTTGGCTGATTGCATCACTCTAGGCTTGAAGTCAAGAAGAACTTTATGGTGGAAGGGAAATGGAAGAAAATTGCCACATGGCAGCCAGGAAAGAGGAGTGGTGTGAGGAGGGAGAGGGAGGGAAAATGGAAGGGTGGAGGAAGAGGAGAGTGGTTTGAGGAGGGGAGGAGGGGGGGATAAGAAATAGAAAAGACAGAAGAAATATTTTGGGGAGAAAGGTCCAAGGTAGAGTCCCCAAGTGAACACCCTCCTGATTTGCTCTCTTCATCTGGGCCCTATTTCCTAATACCCCATTCAGTTAGGGGGACATTAATGGATTAATCCATTTATGAGCTTAATTACCTCATGATCTAATCATTTCCTTAAAGCCTTCAGCACATGGTCTCCCTAAGTGGACCATCTTGTCACACACATGTCAGTCTTCTGACACTTTTAAGAGAAGCTTTCTACCTCTATGTATTGGGTCCCTGTTTAGTGAATGGATAAACAGACCATGTCCTTTACTTGGAGGCAGAATTTTGCAATAGGGGAGAGTGTACTACTTTTGGGGTCGAATTGGGTAGCTTTGTAATACTTGAGAATGCACACCATTCTCCATGTGAAAAATAAAATATCAATTGAAAAAAAATTCTCACATGTACAGATTTCACATTTACATTTTCATCTATATAACCCTTCCCTTAAATATTACCCCAAATTTCAATCCTATAACACCGATTAGAGTAACTTTTCCAAACTTTTACTTCTTCATATTTTGGATCACCCAGTGGTCATTCACATATAACAAGATACTTACAATTATTCTGCTTAGAGTGCTCTATCTCCCAATTTATGCTCTGAACAACTGTGTGCGGTTAGTTTTAAACTTCAGACCTAGGACTGTTTCTTGATGATAAGAGGGATAAAACAAATGCTTGTTCTGGCTGTTAAACTCTACTTTTATCTTAGATATGCACCTGATGCTTATTCCATTATAGCTTCTCTCAAAAGGTAATATCTGTCCATTTTCACATGTGCCTTCTTTTTCCATTTCAGGGCTATTCTTTCTTTTTCCCCTTAGTGTATAATCTAGACTTTTGTCCAGAGTAGATGCATAAAAATAATTAGTAATGAATTTATCTCCTTGAGTTTTTGATTTGAGCATGAAACAACAAAGTCCTTGTGAAAGCAATTTGCAAAAACAACAGCAACTACCAACACAAGATGTAAATGTATGGGATTAATTCTATGATTCATTGAGTCCAGTCCCAGGCCAGCATGTGATTTGATGGTGATGATTTCAATCCCATAGGTCAATATGCAACAAATCCTTCTCAGACTCATTCCCTTTAACAGGCATAACCTGATACTGGTTTATAATCTCAAGTTTTCTATTTAATAGAAGTACATTTTTAGATGAGTGTGTGTCATGCTTGGAACCCTACATATCTAAATATTTAAAAGGATTGTTTGTGTGCCCTTATGCCGATGCTGCTGATATGTGACTTGGCTTTTGCCCGATGGGTCCCTGGGCTTTTCATCATCCAGTGCATATATTGGCTACAGAGTGCCTGGGCAGCAAGAATAGAGGGGTTGCTGAGGCATTGAATGCAATCAGAATGTTATTTAGAAAAGCTGGCTTGGCAGCCAAGCTTTGCACACATCTTTTATTACACCGTATCTTTGTGACATATTATTTCTGCTTCACAAGGTCACCTGACCCTGAATGGGACCTGTGGTCCATTGATAACACAGGTGGGTAATGGGTGTGGCATGATTTAGGTCTGGATACAGAGGGGATGAATCTCTAAAAGCCCCAGGTCACTGGAGCTGAGTTCTCCATTCCTCTCCTGCTCCTTAGCTCTGCCTTTTTTTTCTGTTACTGGTGTGTGAGGGAGGTTAGAACAGGTAGGGGATGGTTTAATTGAAAGCTTCTTTCCATGATCAAGGAGGTGAAGTGGAGTGGAAAATCTTAAGAAGTAGGTAAAATTGATCACTTTCTGTACATGAATTTCAGCCCTAAGAGGAGAGTCAGTGTCGAAGCCTCTGGAGCAAGGTGTCTTGTGTCTAGGTTTTCTTCCTTCTCTTCATTATCTGTTTCTTCCCACTAACCAGCTCTCAATCACAAATTCATAACTCTGCTATGAAACATGCACTATTGGTGCACAGCCCTTGCCTGGGTAATGAACAGTGTGCTTTTTCACCAAT